GCTGGCCCGGCAGGACTTGCTGCCGCACCTGGCGCGCAGGCGGCGCCGGCCAGGTAAGGTTGAATGGGAGGGTGATAGACTTCCGATGGGGCGAGGCCCTCGCTCTGCACCTGGGCCCCCATGGTGCCTGATATGGACAGGGTCATACCCGACAGCCTGTGTCCCATTCCACTCCCCCTCCTTCACGGGAAACACAAGAGGGAGGGGCGAGCTTGTGGAATTTGGCCATGTCAATAATGATGTTTGTGGCCACTTTATGGAGGCTTGTTTCATGCCAGACACAGTAAGCCCTTCATATGAACTATCACTTTATATCCTCCTGGCAGTCCACTGAGGAAGCACTGTTATTGTCTCAGTGTGCAGGAAAACAACAGATTCAGAGAAGTTAAGCAGCTTGTTCACATGTAAGAACTGAATCCTGTGTGCTGGGCACAGGAGATTTAAGGTGATGGGACTGACAAAGTGCTTACATGAGGCTTACATTTATTGGGGTAATCAGATATTGAAACAGCTAAATGACTTGTTTTCATATATGGTTATAGAAAGACTAAAGCAAAGTAATGGTTGAGAGAGTAAGGAGTTCTTCCAAGTAAAGGGAGACCCCCTTAGATTGGATAACCAGTCAAGACCTTTCTGGGAAGGTGACATCTGAACTGAGGCTGCACTGCTGGCCCTGTGCAAGCTTTGAAACCCTGAGGCAGGAATGAATTGGCATCCTCAGAGGCCAGTGTGGCAGAGGGGACCAAAGAAAGGGCAGGGCCTTGCAGATAACACAGCTAGAAAGCAAGAGCTAGGATTCACACTCAGCTGGTTTGTGCCCAGAGTTGATGTCCTTAATCCTTGTGAAGGACAGCAGTCTTAAGAAGGCCAGAAGCTGGAGGGAGTAAGGCACAAGAGCCCCATGCATGCATAGGCCAAGGCTGTTGAGGCCTTGGCAGGATTGCTTGGCGAGGTGTAGGGACTAGTCTAGGGAGGGGGATTGTGAGGCTCCGCTCACCAGAATAAGCCCAGGGATTTGGATAACCAGGAGAAGGGCAGCACTAAGGAAGAACTGACAGCACATTTGGAGAAATATGTCTGACGGTCAAGCTCTGGAAGAGAAGATTTAGGGAAACCGAAGAGGCCTGCTTACTCCCTGTGGCCGCAGGAAGAGCGTGTGTGTGTGTGTGTGTGTGTGTGTGTGTGTGTGTGTGCGCGCAGTTCATGGTGGGCAACATTGCAGGGATCCTTATAATGACTCAGTTTACAGAGTAACTCTGGCTGAGTCCTCCTCTATGTCAGGAGGCAGCCAGCAACAACTGGGTGGAGGTGTTGGAGAGGGAATGGGTGCCTGGACTCTGACCTCTGGGGAACTCAAGAACCCTATGGGGCAGGTGTTCATCTCAGGGGGTGGGAATTGGGAGGCTGGGCCAGGGAGGGGCCAGAGGCTATGAATACTTCTTTCCATTTTTCTCTCCCCCAGTGTCTCCAGAACGCTACAGCTATGGCACCTCCAGCTCTTCTACAAAGAGGACAGAGGGCAGCTGCCGTCGCCGTCGGCAGTCAAGCAGTTCTTCAGATGCCCAGCAGGGCCAGTGGGAGACAGGTGAGCTCAGCTGGGTGGGTGTGAGGGCAGTTTCCCTCTCTTCCTTCTGAACCCTGATGAATCTCCTCCATCAAGGAAGGGGCCCAAGCAGCACAGTGATTCATTTTTGCTTTGTGTGTTTGCTATTCGTACAAAAGCACATGTCCAGAAGCAACGAATGGAGTTGTTTCTTGTGGTTTTATATTTCATCTAAATAGCATCACTTCATGGGTTCATTATTCACATGGGTGTCTTTGCTGGACATGTTTCTGAGGTTCATGTTGAGTAACTCTGGTATCTTTTAATTGTGCCGATTAATCCCAATTCCCCTGTTTTTTATTTTCTTTTTATTTTATTGACTGAGAGAGAGAGATTTGTTGTCCCACTTATTTATGCATTCATTGGTTGCTTCTTTTTTTTTTTTAAATATATTTTTATTGATTTCAGAGAGAAAGGGAGAGGGAGAGAAAGATAGAAACACCAACGATGAGAGAGAATCATTGATCAGCTGCCTCCTGCACGTCCCACACTGGGGATTGAGCCCACAACCTTGACCGGAATCGAACCTGGGACCCCTCAGTCCGCAGGCCGATGCTCTATCCACTGAGCCAAACTGGCTAGGGCCATTGGTTGCTTCTTGTATGTGTCCTGACCCTGGGGATAGAACCTACAACTGGCATATCAGGACGATGCTCTAACCAGCTGAGCTACCTGGCCAGGACCCATTTTTTTTTATTATTCAAACATACAGAGAAATTAAAAGATTAGTACAGTGAAAATGCTCATAGATTCAGTCATTTTAGACTCATTGTGCTGCTTTTGCTTTATATCAGGGGTGAGGACATCCAGCTCAAGGGCCATATAAGGCTTACAAAAGCATTTGGTCTGCCCTGCCAAGGCATTAGGGGTGAGTTAATGAAATGTTTGACCAAATATAGCAGGCTAATTTTTAAGTTGATAATTTTGTATGGCCCACAAATGATGTTATTAATATTCAGATGGCCCTTGGTAGAAAAAATGTTCCCTACCTCTATTTTACATGAATTTATACATAGTTCTGTTCTTAGGTTGTTGTTGTTGAACTCTTTGAAAGTAAATTCCAGGCATCAGGACACTTGACCCCTAAATCACCAGCCCTCTCCTGAGAATAAGAAGATTCTCCCCTACCATTTCAAGACCATTACCATACCTTAGAAAGTACACACTAATTCTGATATTCGAATGGTCCATTTTCATGTCTGTAAGATTGTCTCCATTTTTAGGATCGACTCATAGATGAGTTGTTATGAATTCAGTTGTTATCTCTCCTTAAGCTCTCACTAAAATGAAACTCCTCCCCAACCCACACCTTTTTCTTTTTTTCCCATGGCATTGACTTCCTGACCCTACCAGGCCCGTTGTTTTGTAGAATATCCCGATTATTTCAGAAGTGTCTAATAATTTCCTAATGGTATTATTTAACTTGTCCCTTTGCCCTCGATATTTCCTGTGAAGTGGGAATTGGGTCTTGGAGGCTTGATTCGATTCAGGTTCCACATTTGTGGCAGGAATGCTTCTTGGTTGATGCGGTGTGCTTTGAATTGGGCACATCAGGAGGCAGGAGGTCTGGTTTTTCTGTCATGAGGGAGCAAGTTTGATCACTTGGTGAAGGTAGTGTCTGCCATATCTATCCTTTGCAAAGTGACATTCCCCCACCCCCTTTATGGTTAATAAACAATCTATGGGATGACACTTGGACACATCCTATTCTGTGACAGCATCCAATGGTGATACCTGCCTGAACCAGTTATTACATTGGTGTTTTGGAAAATGGTGATTTTCTAATTATTCCATTTTTCTACACCTATTAGCTGGTATTTTTTCAAGAGGAATTTTTCTTTCCATTCTGCCCTCCCTTTTTGGTGGAGAGTATCACTATGGACTCACGCATTCTTATTTATTTACTGTGTTATAATCAATTAGTCATTCTTCCTTGTGTACAAATTGGCTAGCTCCTGTGTCTTTTTGATGAGTCTGCATCATGCATTGGGCACTTCCTGCTTGATGTCATTGCAAGATGTGGCACTCACCTGTGCTTTTCCTTCCCCAGCCCTGGAATCAACTTTTGTCAGAAGCCTGGTTTCTTTTAGAGGCAATGGTGTTTAGAGACCAAGATCTGGGTGCTGAGTGTGTGTATCATTTCTAGGTTCTTTCAGTGAATAGATTTAGAAACTGCCCTTTTGAAAAGTTCATATTAGTATTTTTAATTCAAAATTAACATACAAGGATTTTTTTTTCTTATATTGAAAATCTTGGTCCTTAATAACATTGAGATAGGGATTTATTTGCTTTATTTTACAACAGTTAAAAAATAGCTTCAGCCGTAACCGGTTTGGCTCAGTGGATAGAGCGTCAGCCTGCGGACTGAAGGGTTCCAGGTTCGATTCTAGTCAAGGGCATGTACCTTGGTTGTGGGCACATCCCCAGTAGGGGGTGTGCAGGAGGCAGCTGATCAATGTTTCTCTCTCATCGATGCTTCTAACTCTCTATCCTTCTCCCTTCCTCTCTGTAAAAAATCAATAAAATATATTTTTCAAAAAATAGCTTCAAAATTACAATGTTAATACCACTGCTGACTCTTTGAAGGAAACCACGTATTTGTAGTCCTGGTCCTTAGGAGTATATCCCACTGAGAGTTTGTACTCAGAATGTTCTTACAGATAAGTTGAAATAATTCTTTTCCACCTGTTTATGTTACCAATTATATACATAGTTAAGTTTATTTGTTTCTGTTTGTGTTTAATTTTATGTTTCTTTCCCTCCCTCCCTCCCTCCCTCCCTGGAGAATATTTTCCCCATTGATTTTAGAGAAAGTGGAAGGGAGGGGAGAGAGAGAGAAGCATTGATGTGAGAGAGCTACATCAATTGCTTGCCCCAACTGGCACTGGGAACCTGCAACTCAGGTACCTGCCCTTGACCAGAATAGAACCTGTGACCCTTTGGATTGTAGGCCAACACTCTAACCACTGACCCATGCCAGCCAGGGCATGGTTTGTTTCTTTCATCTTTAAAATTTTTAAAAAAATAATACATATTTTATTGATTTCAGAGATAGAAACATCAATGATGAGAGTGAACCATTGATAGGCAACCTCCTGCATGCCCCCTACTAGGGACCAAACCTACAATCCAGAATCAAACCGTGATCTCTTGATTCATAGGTCAACACTCATCCACTGAACTACAACTGGTCTATGTCAAAACTAAAGTATGTAGCCCGGCTGGTGTGGCTCAGTGGTTGAGTGTTGAACCATGAACCAAGAGGTCCTCAGTTTGATTCCTGGTCAGGGCCCATGTCTGGGTTTTGGGCTTGATCCCCAGTGGACGGCATGCAGGAGGTAGCCAATCAATGTCTCTCTCTCATTGATGTTTCTATCTATCTATCTCTCTCTCTCCAGCGGTTTTCAACCTGTGGGTCGTGACCCCTTTGGGGGTCGAACGACCCTTTCACAGAGGTCGCCTAAGACCATCGGAAAACACATATATAATTACATATTGTTTTTGTGAGTAATCACTATGCTTTAATTATGTTCAATGAACCATATTTGTAACAGTGAAATTGGGGGTCACCACAACATGAACTGTATTAAAGGGTCGCGGCATTAGGAAGGTTGAGAACCACTGCTCTATCTCTCTTCCTCTCTCTCTACAATCAATAAAAACATTTAAAAAACAAAAAAGAACAAACTATGAAGTATGTAAAACAACATGTTCTTAGAAGTATCACTTCCCCTGTTGTTCCCCCACTCCAGTAAATAGGTAATCAGTTTTATTCATTTCTGGTATATCCTTAGTGTTTCACCTTGCAAGAATAGCAAATATATTTATGTTTCGCCTCCTTTCTTAAGTGAAGTATAGCAAGCTGTAGCCACCTCTTTTGCATCTTGGTTTACTTCACTAAACAGTCTATACTGGAAATTACTCTGTATTCTTTTTGCTACACATTTACATTATTTTCAAGTGTATGCAGTTAACAGCTATAAACAATGCCTTATGGCTGTTGCCATACTGGTCCTGGTGTGACAGTGCAGGAGTTTCTGTATGGTCACACCTGGGAGGGGGGTTGCTGGGTGGGGGATGTGTTTGTTTGCCCTTCTAGATGTTGCTAGGTTGTACTTACTCCCCATCTTATGGACAGGGCCTCTGAGGCAGAGGTGCTCACCCAGGGTCTCATGGCAGAGAGCAGCCTCGAGCTCTTCCCCAGGCATCTGCCTTGGTACTCTACCTATCATCTTGTTCTCAACCACTTCATTTTTCTCTTTTTTTTAAAAATTGATTTCAACCAAAGGAAGGGGGAGGAATAGAAACATCAATGTTAAGAGAGAATCATCGATCGGCTGCCTCCCACACACCCCCTACTAAGGATTCAGCCAGCACCCCGGCATGTGCCCTGACTGGAAATCAAACCTCAACCTCCTGGCTCATGAGTCGACATTCAACCACTGAGCCACACTAACCAGGGCTCTTTCTTTTTTGTTTTAATCCTCACTCAAGGAGTGAGGATATTTTTTCCATTGATTTTTTTCAGAGAGAGAGGAAGGGAGGGAAGAGGAGAAGAGAGAAGAAGCATAGATGTGAGAGAGACACATCGATTGGTTGCCTCCCACACATGCCCCATGCGTCCCAACCGGGGATAGGGATTGAACCTGCAACCCAGGTACACGCTCTTGACTGGGAATCAAACCCACGACCTTCTGGTGAGCAGGCCAAAACTCTAACCACTGAGAACACCTGCCAGGGCTCAACCATCCCTTTTTTCTCAGGCTCCCCCCCTACCAAGCGGCAGCGGCGGAGTCGGGGCCGGCCCAGTGGTGGTGCCAGACGGCGGCGGAGAGGGGGCCCAGCCGCCCCCCAGCAGCAGCAGGAGCAGGCCAAACCCACCTCAGAAGGCAAAGTGACCTGTGGTAGGTATCTGTGGGCCTTGGGGAATGCATGTACAGTGTCTATGGCAGGCTGCTGAGCCAGAGGACAGGAGGAATGGGTACTTGTCTGAGGTGTGGCATACCTAGTGACACCTAGCAGGAATTAGGGTTCTTGTCTCTCTGTTTAGCAGTGGAATATTCTTCTGTTCATCTTGCTTATGTACATTCTGCCCATAGTTAAAGGATCACATCCTGTGCTAGGAAGCCTTCCCTGATAATCCACTGCCACCAGTTTCATTTATTCAGCTAAGATTTGCAAGTGTATATTTATTCAACAATCATTTCTTCTGCAATGGTGGAGTGATATAGGGGTGAAAACAGGACCCTGTGACAAGCTGCTTGATTTACCTCCTGGCCTTAGCAGTTAAATAAGCTCTCTGATCTTGGGCAGGTGACTGAACCCCTCTGTGCCTCAGTTTCCCATATCTGTAAAAGGAGGCTGTTAATGGTACCTTTCAACTAGGATTGTTGAGAGAGAAAATGAGTTAACACTTGTAATACACTTGGAACAGCATCTGTCCTGGGCCCTTGCTATGTACTCGTTTTCTCACTGTCACTGTGCCATGTGCTTGGAGCAGGAAGAGTAGGGAGGTCCCTGCCTTAGTGGAGGTGACCTTTTTAGTAGAGTGATAGACCAGTGAAACTGAAGTTCACTTTAGACAATAAGCCCCTCAAAGAGGGGGTGGGGATGGGGTGGAGCAGCCCACAGGCCTCCAAGTGGGTGGGAGTTTGGCTTTTATTCCTTGCAGCCAGTGCTATCAAGGGATTTGAGCAGGGGGTGAGGTAATCTGATACCTGTTTCGAAAGGAACGCTGACTCCATCTGGAAAAACAGTTAATAAATGTGTTAGGATTTGTAAAGTACTTAGAACAACTCCAGGCACATGGTACATGCCCTGTTAGGTGTTTGTTAAATAAAAGTGGGAGCAGGGAAATGAGTGACAAGGCTGCCCAGTCCAGCAAGAAGGAGAGGTCTGATCTGTGTTGGTCACATTGGAGAGGGTGAGAAGGGGATGGACTAATCGTATATAATAAAAGCCTAATATGCAAATCATCCCCTTGACCAGGAGTTTGACCAGGGGGTGGGGCCGGCCAGCCAACCGCAGGAAGGGAGGCCCCCTGGCCAGCAGCAGGCAGCTGCTAGGGACGCTATGTGTGCACAAATTTTGTGCACTGGGCCTCTAGTTAGGAAATAAATGTAGAGCTGACTGAACCTGCAGACAGGTTGGGTTAGGTGTGTTGGGAGGACTCTGCTCTGGAGACTCATGCTCAAACCTTACCCTGGAGAAAATCCACCTGTCTTGAGGGAAGGACACAGGCCTTGGTGGGCACTCTCTCACTCCCCCTCCCCGCTCACATCTCTGAGTTGGGCAAGTCTGTGGACACAGGATCAGGTGGTAAGATGCTCAGGCAGGGGTGGGAGGGTGGCAGAATTATAGGTTGGGAAGGTTTGAGGTTGAAGCAGCTCTGCATTCCCCAGAACACCTCAGCCTAGGATGCTTCCTCTGACCATGCTGCAGCACCTCCTCCAGCCCACAGAGCAGCCATGCCTGCCACTTCCCAGTGCCCGCCCCCTTATCTCCCCCATAGATGAGACTGCAGATACCTGTGCTGGGCAGGACACAGAGCTAGCCTGTGTCCTCAGACACCAGCTTGAAGGGTGGCTGCCAGGTTGTGACTCTCCCCCCAGTCAGGGCTAATTACCAGAGCCACCAGGCTGGCTGGGCTGCCCAGGGAGTCACTCTTGCCTAGGGAGCAAGCCAAGCTGAGCCTGGGAGGGGTTTTGCCAGTAGAGGCATCAGGTCTCTTTCTTGAGGGCAGGGAGGTGGTTCATGGGGTGTGGCTGGCAATGATAGGGGGGATGGGTAAACAGGTCTGACTGCTGACTCATCAGGCAGGGTGGGGCTGATTGAGGTGTTCCCCAGTAGGGCCCTGCTGAAAGCAGCAGTGGCTTACCTTTAATGAGGCCTAGTCCCTAGAGTAAAAGGAGGCCCTTCCAGACCTGAGTGCGGAAGGATCCTGCTGTTCTTGCCCCCTTCTCACTTGTGACAACTGTGGGGGTTGGCCCCCAGTTAGCTTCCCTCCACTGAGGGGTAGAACCAGACTAAACTCGCAAGGGCCATAGAGTGTAAGGAAGAGAGCACAGGGGGGTTGGGTGAGGGCTTAGACCAGGGGTGGGCAAACTTTTTGACTCGAGGGCCACAATGGGTTCTTAAACTGGACTGGAGGGCCGGAACAAAAGCATAGATGGAGTGTTTGTGTGAACTAATATAAATTCAAAGTAAACATCATTACATAAAAGGGTACGGTCTTTTTTTTTTTTTAGTTTTATTCATTTCAAACGGGCCGGATCCGGCCCGTGGGCCGTAGTTTGCCCACGGCTGGCTTAGACACAGGACCTCTTGAGTTTTCATATCCCTCTCAGGGCGGTCACTGGGCACTTAGCTGGGCATGCTATCCACCTGATTGAATTTTCTGGACAGTGTTGAGGTATAGGGGTCATGGCCCCCATTGTGCAGAGTGGCAGTGGTGGGGCTGGGCCGAAACTTGGGGTTTTTCATTTGGTAATTCCATATGTATTTATAGAACCCTCATGCTAAGCGCTGCAGGGACAGGAGGCTCTTGCCTTCTAGTAGCTTGAGTTCTGGTAGGAGGAGAAAGCCAAGAGACAGTTGTCAGATGTCAGCTGAGAAGAGAAACAAAGCAGGGCAAGGGGGTAGAGTGATGGAAAACACAGTTCTAGACGTATTTTCTAGATAGGGTGGTCTAGGAAGGCCTCTCAGAAGAACATGTGGATGGTTGAGGTAGAATGTTCCAGATGGAGGGGACAGCAGGACCCCAAGCCCAAGAGGGAGTATGCCAGTATTGGTGAAAGGGTGGCAGGGAATCTGACAAGGCTGGAGTGGAGGGAGCGAGGAAAGGCTGCTAGGAGGTGAGGGCAGAGCCTGTGAGCCATGGGCCATGGTTTTGCAGTTTTTTAAATGGTAGAAAGCAATTAGAGGATTTGAATGATAGGCTGTACTTTGCTTTTCATTCAGTCCTTTTTTGGTTGTTGTTTGTTAATTCTCACCTGAGGACATTTTTCCGTTGATTTTTAGAGAGCTGGAAGGGAGGGGAGAGTCAGAGAGAGAGAAACATTGATGTGAGAGAGACACATTGATTGGTAACCTGCACCTGAGGTACATGCCCTTGACTGGAATTGAACCTGGGACCCTTCAGTCTGTGGGCCGAAGCTCTAGCCATTGAGCCCAACTGCGGCTAGCGCTCCTTCAGTGCTTTCTGTGGAGGAGATAGAGAAGCAGACTAGTGTAATGAACCCCATCTTTTTATCACCCAGCTTCAGCAGTTGTTAACTTGTGGCTGATCTCATTTCATCAGCCATATTGTTTGGGAGTTAGTTCCAGGTGTCCTGCTATTTCATCTGTAGATTTTTCACTGTGTATCTCTAAAAGGTCAGAATTCTTTTCTTTTTTTTAATCTTTATTGTTCAGATGATTCATAGTTCCCCTCCACCTGGTTCTCACCCCACCCCAGGCCCTCACCATCCCACTGTCCATGTCCATCTTTGTCCAGTCTCTACCCACATCCCCCCCACACTCCCTTCACCCCGAGAATTGTCAGTCCACTCCATTTCCATGCCCCTGATTCTATTACATTTATCAGTTTATTCTGTTCATCAGATTTTTTATTCATTTGATTTTTAGGTTCACTTGTTGATAGATAAATATTTGTTGTCACTTTGTTCATAATTTTTTTTTAAAAATATATTTTATTGATTTCTTACAGAGAGGAAGGGAGAGAGAGAGAGTGTTAGAAACATCGATGAGAGAGAAACATCGATCAGCTGCCTCCTGCACATCTCCCACTGGGGATGTGCCTGCAACCAAGGTACATGCCCTTGACCGGAATCGAACCTGGGACCTTTCAGTCCGCAGGCCGACGCTCTATCCACTGAGCCAAACCGGTTTCGGCATAATAATAATTTTTTATCTTTACCTTTTTCTTCTTCCTCTTCTTAAAGAATACCCTTCAGCATTTCATATAATACTGGTTTGGTGGTGATGAACTCCTTTAGCATTTTCTTGTCTGTGAAGCTCTTTATCTGACCTTCAATTCTAAATTAGAGCTTTGCTAGGTAGAGTAATCTTGGTTGTAGGTTCTTGCTATTCATCACTTTGAATATTTCTTGCCACTCCCTTCTGGCCTGCATACTTTCTGTTGAGAAATCAGCTGACAGTCATATGGGTACTCCCTTGTAGGTAACTAACTGTTTTTCTCTTGCTGCTTTTAAGATTCTCTCTTTG